GGATTACCAAGATGAAGACTAATGGGAAGCTTAATAGGGTTGGGGGAAAGGTAATGAGATTCATTTTCTTGAGTATTGTGTACCTGTGGGATATCCTAGTGAAGTTGTCTGGAAGGCAATTGAAATTATGGATTTGGTGTCCAGGGGACACTTGACTAAAGATAGAGATTTGAATGTCATCATCATGATATTAATTGCAGCTGTGAGAATACATGAGATCATCCAAGAAGAGAAGTAGAATTGAGAAGGAAGGAGACCTGGGAATGCCACCTGAGGAAACCTACCGTTGAATAGCTGGGCAGAAGAGGAGGAGTGAAAGGAGGAGAGGCAGGAGGAGGAGAATCAGAAGAGAGCAGTGTCCTGGAACCCAAGGGAGAAGAAAGTTCCAATAAGTAAGGGGTGGTCAACAGTTTCAGAGGTGTGGCTTTAGCTGCAAGGCTGTCTTTGGTAGTGAGAAGAGTTCATTAGCAGAGAATGGGAGCAGAAGCAAATTCTTATGGGTTGGGGAGGGAATAAGCAGTAAGAAAGTTAAGGCAGCTAAATGTGGGTTGCTTTGTGCAGAACCTGGCATTAAGGCATTCGGGAGATACAGTAAGGTGAAGTAGGAAGGAGAGTCAGGCTTCTTATTTGCTAGTATAATTTTCAAGTTTGTTTTGATTGGACTGGGTGCTAAAGGAAGTATTTCTTACCAAGGAAAATTTCCCTGAGATTTTTGAATAAGGTGGTAGCAACAGTCCTTTGAAAATATTTGCTCTCCATCATAATGAATACAAGAGGGAACAAAGTAAGTAGCTCTCGGGACTGGAGGAACCTAGTTTGCCTGTCCTCTAATGGCAGGAACCCTGGTCTAGCTCATCCCAGGCACTGAATTTTTGAAATTCTAGACACTGCTGCTAGAACACGCAATTCCGAAAGGTGAGGAAGTTTAATATTCTTTGTACAGTCTACTTCTTGCTGTTAAAAAGTGTTCATGCCCACAGAAAAGAGTAATTTCCATGTGTTAAAAGGGTCATTTAACAGAACTTCAGTAGCCTGAGGAGTTGGCTTTCTTTCTTTCTTTTTTTTTTTTTTAAAGATTTATTTATGCATACAAAAGCTGGGGTACAGGCCAGAGATGCGATCGGTGAGAGAATTCACCAGAGACAGAATGGGGAACAGAACAGGCAGACTGACCAAAATACGCTGCTGAGGGGCACAGCGGGCGAGACAGGAGAGGTCTGCCTCGCCATGTGGGTTGCTCCCTGGCCTGCTGGGGATCGTACTTCTGCTGCAGAGGCTGCGAATTGCCTCATAGTGCAGTGCTCAACCTCTTGCACCACCAGGGAGGCCCTGAGTTATTTTTCTTTTCTTTTTTTTTATTTTATTATTTTTAATATTTTATATAATTCTTACATCATTTTTCCTCTTTGTACAATGTATGCATTTTCATTTTGGTTATAGTCTCCATACAATTGCACCCACTCCCCCTTATTTTTTTTTTAATTTCCTTTTTTTTTAATTTAAATTTTATTTTTATATTCCCCATACAATTACAACCCCCTTATTTTGATCCCAATCCTTCCTTTCCCCACCCCCCGGAGAGCTGTGAGGAGATTTCTGGACCTACTAAACATAGAACTTCCATGCGATCCAGCAATTCCACTCCTAGGTATTTACCCAAAGGACACAGAAACATCAATTCCAAAGAACACCTGCACCCTATTTTTATAGCAGCACTGTTTACAATAGCTCAGCTTTGGAAACAACCCAAATGCCCAAAAATAGATGACTGGATCAAGAAGATGTGGTACATATACACCATGGAATATTGCTCAGCATTCAAAAAAGATAAACACATGCAATTTGCAGCAACATGGATGGCGCTGGTAGGGATCATGCTCAGCAAAATAAGCCAGAAAGAAAAAGAAAAATACTGGATTGTCTCACTCATAGCAGGAATCTAGAAAACTTAAATAAGGGACCAGGAAAAAGAATAACTATAAGAAAGAAAATATCAAAATCAACAAACAACTATGAACCAGAGACACTATGGGGGGGTGGGGCCTGAGTTATTTTTCTTATGCTGCAAAGTTGTTTTGTTTTCACCCCACCTCCTCCCCCAGTTCCAGCCTCTCTGGTGAGCTGGGCTTTCTGTTGTGTTGTCATCTGTCACTCTTCACGGAGTAGGGTCAAGCCTGTGTGCATACAGATGTAGTTCATGTCAAAGCTGATTTTTACTTTGGGTGTGCTCTCCATAGAGATTATTTAATACCAATGTTTTATGCATATTAAGTTGGCACTTTGGAAGGTGTTTCTCTCTTTAAGCATTTGTTTTTTTTCTTATTTCCTGGAATATGGGTTCTTAGCCTTTCAACTAAGATGCTTGGAATTTGCTTCTGAATTTGGGAAATAGTTTAGTAACTGTTGGCTCCTTAATGTAAGAAGTTTAATTGGTGGGTCTCATTGACTGTTATTTTGATTTGAATTTGTCTTTAGTTGTGGCTGATTCTGCAAACCTGATCTATAAATGCGTTAATCATTATCCTCGCCCTGTTCCTTAAATTGCTAATAATATTTCCACTTGATAAAACTATTGAATCTGTGCTTCAGTTTTTAAAAACTAAAGCGAACATTATTTTTCTTGAATTGTACCCACATTGTATTTTCTTCCTTGTATAATGTTAATTTAGTGCTTTATCATAAAAGATTTTTCTCAAATTAAAAGGAAAGTATTCTCCAGCATCTTGCCTTCCTGCCTATGACTATGTAGGTACCTCTCTCTGCCTCCTTTTCCTAATAAACCTGTCCTTTTAAACTTTAAAAAACTAAAAGGAAGGTATTCTGTGAGGTTACTGAAGATTGGGTAAAATATTTAGACGTGTACTGTTATAAAAACTATTAATTTATTACCAGAAGAAGGAAGTGAAGGAACTTCTTTTACTTATGGCTTAAATTACAGATAATATGTGATTTTTGTGTAGTTACTAAAATGCTCTAAAAGTGCTGTGGAAACCGGGCATCTATGGGAACTTTTCCCTAGAGAAAATTTGAATATTAAAGCTGCCTGTATCCTTTTTGCATAATAGAAAATCTGGATATAGGTTTCCTGAATATAAGGATATTGACAAAAGATGGTTAATAGAGAGGATATTGAAAAGCAAAGGATACTAAAGAAATATCAGAGAGAAAAAATGATTTCCCCAAGTTCCATAGTGATGCTGGGAGAGACCTGAGGAAGGACCAGATCTCTAGATTCCCCTTCTTGGGTTCTTACTACTACATCACTCTTCCTGTGTTCTAGATGTTCTAGAAGAGAGTCTTTGGCACCATCTTTTTAGAAACCTGCATTTTCTGTGGTTTTAAGAGGATGAAAACATGAAAAAAGTCTTCTTGAAGGAAATTCATTTCAAAATGAAATTCTGGAAAATACCTGGTTGTGTTGTGTTGGTGTGACCTGTGACCTTTGGTTAATTGTATGGAATCTAGTCTTTTCTCTCTATGGAAAGAGGTGCAAACAGTTTACTTGAAGGACATAGAATGGGATCTTTGGGAGTGAGATGGACTTATGAAATTGTGATATATCTGGCATATTTATACCAAGGAGGATTGCACACTACTGCACTTTCAGTAGAGAATGTCTCAATAAAACAATTGAGAGTCAAGATAAGCAGCTAAAGTTCGAAGTTAACCTGTTGATGGCAACCAGGCATAGGGTGGCAGGTTCACTGTCGATTTGGGCAGACAGATAAAGAGGATCTTGGCGCACGGGGAGGCTGGGAGTGCTCTCTCTTTCTGGCTTCTCTCTCAGTCTCCCTCTCAATGTCCCGCATCATGATCTCCCCCAGGCATCCATACTTACAGCTGCCTGTGCCCCGTGCTTGAGCTTCCAAGTGCCATTTGCACCAACACCATGTGAGCAATGAAACCTGGAAGAAAGAAAGGCTGCAGGTGGCAGCCGTAGAGTAGGAGGTGGAAAAAAGCCTAAGCCACTCCATTTTCCCTACACCTGTCATCCCTGCATCCTGAGAGAAAAGTCTTCTCTTTGCAACAGTTGGGGATCTAGGGGGAGAGAATCAATACGGAATCCAGAAGCCATGAAAATTTGATCTCCAGCTTCCTCTTAATAATACTAGAGGTACGGGGTGGCTTGTCTCAGTCCTGTTCTGCTGCCACTGGTTCCCTCTTTTCTTTCTGTGTTGGGCCAGTGTATTTTATTTTCTATCTTCAAAGGGAAGTTAAAACCAGAGGAGAAGGGAAAAATAAATATCTTTTTTTTTTTTTAAAGATTTATTTATACAAGCACTAGGGTACAAGCCAGAGGCGCGGGAGGGTGAGAGGATTCACCAGAGACAGAGTGGGGAGCAGAACAGGCAGAAGGACCAAAATACACTGCTGAGGGGAGCAGCGGGCGAGACAAGAGCGGTCTGCCATGCCATATGGGAATCTCCCTGGCTGGCCGGGAATCGAACTGGCTCTGTAGAAGCTGCGGACAGCTTCACAGCGCTGCGCTCAACCTGCTGCGCCACCTGGGAGGCCCAAGAATAAATATCTTACACTTAGATGTTTTTGATCTAGCTTGCAAAGAAAATTTGATTTTTACAAATATTAGAGAGATGCCTTCAGTAGATTTTTCTGTTTTCAGAGTGTGATGGGAAAGTGGTGAGAAAGACAATCTGGAGCAGCCCCAAGGCAACATTGATATTGATGAACTTGTTGCATTCCTCTCCCCATTTTTTTTTTTTTTACCCATAAGCATACCATAATCAGCCTTGTTAACTCTTCTTGAGTCAGTCAGATCACTCTCTGTGTAGAGCTCAGAAATGTCAATAATGTGATAAAACAGTGGAATTTTAAACCATTGTTTTCTTATCCTTAGAGCTCGAGTAATTTGTGTTGAAAGAGTCTCTGCTTGCTACATCTACTCAGCATGTTTCTAGGTCTCTGATGGGAGTTGATTGACTCTTCCAGAACTTTGTGACATGGAAAATGATCCCGTGTATTGTGTTGTGTTGTATTTCTAGAACTCTATGGCTTTGACGTACTCATCGATTCTTCTCTGAAGCCCTGGTTGTTGGAAGTAAATCTCTCTCCTTCTTTGGCCTGGTAAGTCTATTAACTAGAAAAAGGCAAACCTTCAATTAGTAGCATTATAACACTTTGTTTGAGTCATTTCTCTTGGCACCAGGAGATTTTTACCCCTGGTTATGAGATATTGTTACCAGAATTGCTAAATTTGGGGGATTTGTGGGATGGTGTCAAAATCCGTATGGCAACCATGGGTCCTTATAGTCAGTTTGCAGTATTATGTTTACAGCTTATAGGGATGCTGCTTTCATTTTTGCTTAAGTTCTTTCTCTTATTTTTTATTTAATTTTTAAAAAAAGATTTATTTATTTATTTATTTATACAAGCACTGGGTACAGTCAGAAGCACGGGAGGGTGAGAGAATTCACCAGAGCCAGAGCGGGGAACAGAGCAGGCAGACAGACGAAGTACACTGCTGAGGGGAGCAGCGGGCGGCAGGAGAGGTCTGCGCACCATTTGGGATCCTCTCTGGGTAGCCAAGGATCGAACCTGCGCTGGAGAGGCTGCAGGCATCTTCGCAGCCCAGTGCTCCACCGCTGCACCACCAGGGGAAGCCCTTTTTATTTTATTTTTAAAAAGATTTATTTATTTATGCATACAAGAGCTTGGGTGTAGGCCAGAGGTGCGGGGGGTGGGTAGGTGAGAGGATTCACCAAAGACAGTGGGGAGCAGAACAGGCTGATTGACTGAAATACACTACTGAGGGGAGCAGCAGGTGAGCCAGGAGAGGTCTGCTTCACCATGTGGGTCAGCTCCCTGGCCGGGGATTGCACCCTTGCTGCAGTGGCTGCAGATAGCTTCATAGTGCTGAGGCTTAACCTCTTGTGCCACCCAGGGAGGCCCTCTTTCTCTCTCTTTTAAATAAAGCTTTGTAGGCTAAAGAAACACATGAAGTACTATACTCCTTTTGTTACTAAAGGTTTATGCAGACTCAAGTCCACATATACTGAAAAGGTATAGAGCTGGCCCTTGGGTAGTGAGGATAATACCTGGTCCTTTTGCCCTATCCATTTCCTGATATCCATCCAAGATTTAAGTCTAAAAACTAGTCTTAAATTTTTTTTTCACCTACCTATGGTTTAACAGAAAGAACAAAACCTTTTTTTTAACGCCAGGGAAGTGTCTACTTATATCTGCAGTTAGAGCCAGAATTTCTATTAGCTATACTCTTCCTCTAAATAGCAAGAGCACCCTGGAGATTTATGCCAGAGACCACCCAGCTACTGCATTTTTAAGGATGAGAAATGTTGGCACAATGCCGAGGAATCAAATAAAAACAGATTGACTCCTTGGTGGGGCAGGACTCTGGCTTAGCCTCAACAGTAAGGTGTAGAGCTCAGTATTACAATTGCTCCAGGTGTGGCGCTATGCTTTCGTTAAATCAGCATATTGCTCAGCAAGGCCCATGGCAGGTTAGGAGCCCAGAATGACTCATGGGGTCCAGTCACCACAGTGATTGGGTGTGTGGGAGGAGTGCCTCACCACTACAGCCAGTGGCAGTGACCTTGTTGTTTCTGTTTCCATGTGAGTTTCCGCTGCATCATCTGGTGATATTTTGGTATAACTTGTATTTTTTTGCCCTCATTTGCAAGCCTACAAAGTTAAGAGGCTTGATTTATAAGAAAAACCGTAAGCCTTGCAAAAAAACAAACAAACAAACAAAACCCCAAAGATGGCAGAGTTTCTTTGATTCCACTATTACATCAGTAAAATAATTTGAATGACAGACACACTCGCGAAACAGCATATTAAAAGTCTGCACCTCTAAAATCCACGTGATGATGACGCAGTGTTCTTGACTTGTGCAAAATTTGAACTGCACAAGATCTGGAATGAAAAGATGGCCTATTAGGGAGTCAGTGCCTTGCAGGGCCTGCTTTACGGAGAGTGAGTTTCACACCAGACTTTCATTTCTAGTATTTTTGCCCAGATTTCTTTTTCCATGGATTTGGTGTGCTTTATGTGCTTTTCCTCATCGACATTTGGAAGCTTTGCTATATTGGGACCAGCAAGGGGCAGGCAGCTATTCTGTTAATTTATGGAATCATCAATTATTCTTTTCTTTCTCTGTTCTGTTAGTGATGCACCTCTGGACCTAAAGATTAAAGCCAGTATGATTTCAGATATGTTCACTGTTGTGGGTGAGTAGCAGAGTTTCTGAAAACTCACATAAAAGTTAACCAGAGCATCCATTTTGTCAGGCTCTATAGGTGTTGCCAACTGGCAGTTCCTAAGTCATCTGAATGTTTTGTACTAAAAAATTGTATTTTTAGGGAAGTGTTTATGTGTTACTGCTCCCCCTGGCTCCATCCTGTCCTGAGGCTGAACCACAACTAGGACTGAGACCTGATTCCTGGGGCATAGGAATCATGAGCCAAGGAATAGAATTAAGCAGAGATCTGGAGACAGTGTATTTTGTCCCAGCTGGGATAACCCACTGAAGAAGCTTTATTAGACAGGTGACCAGTTATATTTCCACTGGACAGTCTTTACTAGTGTCACATGATCCTTTCTGCAGTAGTTAGAACTGAAGCAGGCCAGTGGAGAAAACACTTTTGAACAGATAAACTAAAACTTTGAAATGGACATGGGCAGTCAGGTGGGTATGTTGTGGTTTACTGGTTTTTGTTTTAAGAATTCTGAAAAGACATAATAAAATATATGTGAGATGAACTAGTACTTGGTGTGCCAGCAGATGTTGCAAAACTTAGCTATTTTGTTCATCTTGGATGGGAATCCATTTCTTTTTTAGGAAATAAGTGAAATTAGACCAAACCTAATTCCTTAAACCGTAGATAATCTACAAAGCCGATGTCTTTTCAGACGCTGTCAGTAGACACCTTCAGTGGATCTAGAAGTAGATCTTATAAGAGCACCAGACTCCTCACTGGCTTCTGGATCCTCCCTATAAAGAAACATTATCGTCTGGTCACCATCCAGGAAGCCACTTCGAAATGATTTTTTTTTTAAAACTAAGAACTAGTGCTTTTTAATAGTCGTTTGTACTTTACTCTGAAGTTCATTAAAAAAAACTCCATCTCCTTTTTCCATCAGAATCACATTGCAGCTCCCCAGCAAGGAAGGTGATTTAACTGTGTATTTTCCTTTCTTCTCTTCAGTTACGGTGTTTGAATTTCAAGTGGAGTGTGTATAGGGGAGACTCATGCATAATCCTCTTGAGGACAGATCTCTGTAATACCTAGGACAGTGAAACTGAGTTTGTACATCTAAAGAAAAGGTGCAGCTAAGCCCACTAATTTCTTAGAAAATGGCAGGTTTTAATGTTTCCCATTCCCCATTCAGGATTTGTGTGCCAAGATCCTTCCCAGCGGGCATCCACCCGGCCAGTTTATCCCACCTTTGAGTCTTCCAGGCGAAACCCTTTCCAGAAACCTCAGGTAAGCAAATTCAGCAGCAGGGAGCCCAGAGGAGGCTTACTGGAAAGTGGCAGCTGATGTAAATGAGTGAGCTGAGCACTGGATATGAGAGCAGGAGAATGTGGGCATCAATCTAGACAGGAGGCAGTTATACTCAGCTGAAGCTAATCGCTATTTCTTTCAATGCTTTCAAACAAACTTTCTGCTTTTGTTTTTTTCCTTTTGGCTTCTTTTTTTCTCCTTATCTTTCCTTTTTCCTTTCTCTTTCTTAAAAAAATTCACCTCCTTTTTCTCAAATTGATTTACATATAAACAAAGCACAGAGAGGAAGCTACAAAATCTAGTCATCACTTTGCTACATTTTTTTTTTTTTTCATCTCAGACTAGCTTCATGAAGAAGGTTCTCAGTTGAAAGAATGTCTTCTGTACAAGAGATTCTCTTCAAAAGGATCCTCTATGACCAGGGGGTATTCAGTGAGATAAGTGCCTAAAGAGACTTGTACCTGCCTGAAACATCATTTGATCTGGTATTGCCCAGTCTAAGTGTCTCTGCATCTTTATTCCAGCCAAGCCAATCAGTCGTTCAGTGCCTTCACCCCATCATCTAATCAGTCCCCACCTGTCTAGGCCTGGCTGGTTTCCACTTCCCTTTCTTTCTCTTTATTATTTCTTCTTATCTAAAAGGTCCACTTTTCGCCTCTTTTCTCATTTGGACTGATTACCTTGCCTGCTTAGAAGTTTGGAGATCATTTCACATTCCATCCCATACCGTCGTGCCTTACTTTTCATTTCAACATTATGTACTTATCCTCCACTGCATTGTTCTACATTCCTTGACTTGTTGCTTTTAAATTGTCCAGCATTTTGGATATTTTGGAAATTTTGGTCAAAGTAATAGGTAGGCCTCTAAACCCTGTTCATCACTTAAATTCAACATTTCTCCACCATTTCTCTGCTAGATTGTCCGCTCTTTGAAGGCAGGGAGAGCTGGGGCATCTCCTTACTCCTCTCCTTACCCCCTCTCTTTATCCCTTCTACACCTCCACTTTAGCTGTGCACCCTTCCCTGTTCTCTTCCTCCACCTCTTCCTTTTGCTTGCTGGTCTCATTAGAACAAGGCTTGCAAACACAAATGCTACAAGCAGGCATTGCAAATGAGTAAATAGGACCAGGTATAACACAGCTAAGAGCAATGTACCTGGTAAACTAGAGTGCATGGCTCATAAAAAGGGGCAGCTGATGTGTTATAGCTGATCTTTGCCAAGCATGAGTGTGGTCCGAGTGTGGTCCAAGTGTTGTCAGATCTTCCTACTGTCAAGATAAATCAGATCTTATTTTAAAATATTGGAGCTAGTTTAATCATAAAAAAAAAAAAAAAAATCAGAGTTTGCAAACCAACCAGTATGTCTTTGAGCTGGATTCAGTCTAAGGACTGCCTGTCTGTGACCTTCTACTCAAGAGCTATTCTCTGCTTATATTGGTAGTGTGATGTGAAACAGGCTATTCTATACTTTAAAGGGTATTATCTTGGATTAGAAGTAAAACCAGGCAACAGATTTGTACCTGATCACTACATCATCACAGATCAAAGGGTTTCCTTTAATTTTTAATAAAGAGAGTAGAGGATTAACCTAAGTGTACTAAGAAAACTGAATTTGGCTAATCATATTCCTTTGCAAATTGTTTTCTGCAGTGTCTGTGGCAGAAGCCACAGGATTATATATAAAGGACTTGAATATTTTCGTGCAGCTTTAACATGGTTTCTGCCAAGTTTCACTCTAGGGGTAGCTGGATGTCAGTCTTGGATGAATTGATCCCTTTGCTTTGCTTGCTTGCTGGCTTTTATTGGCTGGGGACTCTGGAAATTGTAGAGAATCTATTCCCCATTCGTTTTGCTAAGTGGTAAGTAATGGCATGACTTCATCATCTGTGGCCTACAGGACACTGATTTAAAGGCCACAGAAACTATAGGTTAGCTGTATGTATATTGCATGGATGAGCTTGTCAGGTGCAGTAGTCCACTTGAGTATCCTCAGTCCCTGGCAGGATTGTCTCTCATTGGTGAACTGACACTGGAATAGCTACACAGAGGAGAAAAAGCAGTGTAAAAAGTAACTAATCTCAACTCTTCCAAGCACAAAGTATAGTGCTCTTGCTTTCAGTCTCTGCTTACAGATCATTTTATTCCTTTTTTGTATCATAGATGTAGGAGGCAGAAAAACATAGGCATGTTAGGAGGAGATAAGGCTTTATTCCCTCCTGACTTTTATAGTGTCCAGTGTCTGCATAGTGTTAGTCATCATATGTCAGACAGGTAAGTTCTGGATCGTGTGGAAACTAAAAGTTTTTATTTCCATTCACCAAAGGGAAAACCTTTCAGCATTACTTGTTCCTGGTACATATCTCTTGTACCTGCTTTTTGAACAGCTTAAGAGCATAATATAGAATAAGTGGAAATGAATACACAGAGGTCTTTTTGGATATAGACTGTAAGAGTACAAGTTTCAGGAACTTATAAATTCTCTTTTCCTGATATGTGATGATTATGTTGTGATGGAGTCAGTTGAATTTAAGTGATAAACAGGGTTTAGAGGCCTACCTATTACTTTGACCAAAATATCCAAAAAGGAAATGTTATCATTCACAAATAACCTTTCTTTTGTTCAGATATCATGAAACATTATTATCAGTAGGTTTATATTGGAAATGTTTTCACATTAGTATTGGGCTTCATATATATGGTGATTTAGTTTCATATATATGGTGATTTCTGGTTTTATGAACCTTTGAAACTTTGCCATTGCTTGTGTCTCACACACTAGCTTTAAAACAAAGACAGAATACTTTATCTTCATCTCTTAATGACCAGCAATTGTCCTCTTCCTCTTCTTGTTAGCAGTATTTGACCCTAAGCTAACATCTTTTTGACACACTAGGGCAGTGGTGTTAAGTACCACTGCTGCTTGCTGCTTGTTACAGGGCAACCCCGATATGAAACGGGTTGCATGACTGTGAGTCCTTACCTGCATCCTTACAAGGGATTTATTAATACTGAACTGCAGGCACACACAAAAAGTTAATAGAAAGTTTATTTACAAAAGAAGTGGAAATGAAGAATAATTCAGGGAGAAGAAGAGGGAGATAAATTCGTGAATGCGTCCTACCAGTTCCACTGACCTGGAATCCCAGTGTCATGTTGAGAGCTGGTGAAAAGCCAAGAGCCGTGAGGCCAAGAGAAAGACCCAAGGCCCACATGGCTGGTTTTATACCAAACCTGGCTGCCTAACCCCACCCTCAGGTCCCAGCAGCCTTCCCTTTGGTGATGATGAGATTTGTAGTTCCCAGTGTCTTGATGGCTTTTGTCTGGAGTAGGGGTGGAGTCCACAAAGCCTCTATGGACTTTGCTCAGGACATCCTTTCCCCCTAACGCTTTGACTTAAAAGATGTAGATGTCCTCACATGTGAGTGTGCCATTTGCCACTATTAGTTCTTTAGCAAAAAGCTCCAGTGTATTTGTTTTGACGTTTGTGCTCCCTGATGCAGTTTCTGTTAAGCTCAAGAGCTAGCCTTGTAAGTTTCTTAGCTACCATTTTTGATAAAGTGAGTCACATGGTTTATATGAATCCAAGAAATGGAAAAAAAAAATGCAGAACAACTTATTAGTTGTCTTCTCTAGTATTTGGTTAATGGGGTTTTATAATAAGAGCTATGGTATTTAGTTAGAGTTCAGAGTTCTTTGATGCTTAATGTTTTATATTTAGCAAGTACCTAAGGTGTGCTAGCTGTTCTCCATGGCAAATAAAACAAAAAAACAACTAAGGCTGTTGACTTCAAAGAGTTTACATTCTAAACATTTCTTGAGCTTAAGGAGAACACAAAGTACTATTTCATAGCCTTGTGAATTTGACTCCAAAGAAGTGTCTTTGACATGTAATTCTAATCTTAATTTCCCTTTGCCCATTTTAATTCCTTTACATCCAACTCCATTGCTTGAATTGCCATTTGTGGCACTAGCCCGCAGGCAAAGTTTCTCTCGTAGTTATGTATGTGAACACTCCTTTGTGACACAAAATCTCTCTGGCTTTTTTTCAGCCAGCTTTATGTATACGTGTTGACGTCTCTGACTGCTGTTCTTTGCAGTATTTTACTTAGTCACTGTCTTTCTGTTAATGAAGCACTCTGCACTGCACAGTAGTTTCATCAGGGCTAAGTAAAAAAAAGGAAAGAAATTTTCCACTCTGGCCACTTAGACAATATTGGGTTTTCTTCTTCTGTTGTGTACAGATTGTGAAGTCACAGTTCTTTGCCTGTTGTCTAATTATTCCTTTTAAATCTCCGTTCCCTTGGATGTCTGTGGTTCAGATTTTCCACTCACTGGAAATTACTTTTTAGTAATACAGGTCCAAGGCAGGTGGCATGGTTTTGTAGGGAGAACATGGAATTTATTTTTATTTATTTATTTATTTTCAAGATTTATTTATTTATTTATACAAGCACTGGGTCCAGTACAGTCAGAAGCGCGGGAGGGTGAGAGAATTCACCAGAGCCAGAGCGGGGAGCAGAACAGGCAGAAGGACCGAAGTACACTGCTGAGGGGAGCAGCGGGCGGCAGGAGAGGTCTGCGCGCCATGTGGGACCCTCCTCCGGTGGCCGGGAGCAGCCGGGATCGAACCGGCGCTGCAGAGGCTGCGGGCAGCTTCGCAACCCAGCGCTCAACCACTGCACCACCGGGGAGGCCCAGAACATGGACTTTAGAGTCAGATACTCTTGGGTTTACATTTGAGCTCTGCTAATAGCTGGCCATGAGATCTTAGACCAGTGCCCTTATCTCTCTGAGGCTCATATCTGTCAAATGTAGATAATAATACATACATAGGGTTACGGTGAGAAAGAAGTGATAAAACATAGGTAAAATATCTAGGATAGTTCTGAACACACAGTTTACCCTCAGAAGATTTATTCTCTTTTACATGTTTAAGCCCTATTTTGATTTTTCTTTTCCATTGTCAGTATCTGGTGTTA